CCCAATAAACCCTATAAGCCCTAAACCCTGTAAACCCAATAAACCTATAAACCCTATAAGCCCTATGAGCTAACGATCCCTTAATTAAGACCCCTTCGAATTACGGGGACGAGGGATCCCTTCGATTTCAGACCCGTCTTTTACATTCTCCCAGCGACCTTCATCCCAGCCTTTTTCAGCCTTTGGAGGCTCGAGCAACTGAATCTCACCAAGAACCTCCGGGTGTATCAAGGCTTGCTCAGGAGCCTCGGATTGTTTTCGGCAAGTGTTTGCAGTGCTGGTTTGCAGACTTCCAGAAGTATAGAACAGTATCTAGAAGGCAGGATGGGCTTGCTCAGAATTAATGGTCTGTTGGTCGATTTATTCCATTGTCCAGACCATTTATGATCAAGGTTGGCTGGCACGCTCCCATGCTCCGTCTACTTTGTTTCAGAGGATAGTTACATGGTGAACGTGAAGGCATGTGCATGATGCACGCCAGCATGCATTCAGCTACCCGAGTGTGTGTTTGTGAGTCAGTAAGTAAGCAGGCAAGCGAACCATTTAGTTAATAAGTAAATAAGTAGGAAAGTTAGCGTGTATGTATGGATGTATCCACGAAGGCATGTATGAACGCATGTCTGATTCCATGTACGTATAAAAATATACATATGTATGTTTGCATGTAGGTAGACAGGAACGCATGCAAGCATTTATGTACTGTATGTATGCATGTATGTATGCATGCGTGTACTGGCATCTACATCGTTATCTGTGATGAAGTCTATATCAATTTGTATGATGAAAATTTGCACATATATATATATATAAACATCTGTGCAACATGTGCCTGCGTACATGCATACATCCATACATACATTCATACGTACGTGCATACATACACAAACGTTCAAGCGTGTGTGTGTATTTATGTACCTGGGCAAAGAGAGGTGTATGTGTATGCGCCTGTGCGCAGATATCGGCTGATCTGTGCATACATGCATATATAATGTATTATATGGGGGCTGAGGGTTTATTGGAGTTTAAGGCTTAAGGTGCAGCGTTTAGGACTCAGAGGGTTTAGGGATTCAGTGGTGCACTTCCGAGCTGTCGGGTTTTAGCCCCAGAACCCTAAACCCTAAACCCTAAACCCTAAACCCTAAACCCTAAACCCTAAACCCTCCCAGGAACAACAACAGCTTCGGCCGCCCAGACATGCCCCAGTGCCTTGCTGAGATGCAACTGGGTTGCTCAGTGATATCCCTTTTGACTTTTCGGTTTCTGGGGTCCGGTTAAGTCCTAAACACCCAAGAAGTCGCAACTCCTTTCCCAGTAGTTTTCACGTTTGGTCTTTGACTCCAACTTGCGCAGACCCAGGAATTGCACACATTTGGTTACTGAAAAAACCAAGCCTTAAACGCTGAACAGCCTAGGCAGCGTTCTGTGTTCTGCCCTGCGTTGCCTGCGGAGACGAGCGGCTGAGCATCATTGGTAGAGGCTTTGTTTTGGCCCCTAATCCCAAAGCCCCCGTAAACCCTAAACCCTAAACCCGAAACCCTGAACCCTAAACCCTAGACCCTAAACCCTAAACACTAAATCCCACACATCGAAAAGTGTACCGAGCTTTAAAAAAAGAAAACCCTCCTAAATCCCAAACCTCAGATTCCTGGGCCCTAAGGACCTATATTATTTTGGGGTTTAGGGTTTAGGGTTTATTTTGGGGTTCCTTATTATACATAGTTATAGTATAATGGGCCCCAAAACCGAACCCCATTCTAATCATTAATGCTCCTGTTTGTGGGTTTTGGTGAGGTTCAAAAGAGTGGTTCCGGGTCTCTTGGGGTTCAGGGTGGTTTAGCGCTTCTTGTCTGGATGGTTTAGGGTTTAGGGTTCTGGGTTTAGGGTTCTAGGTTTCAGGATTCAGGGTTTAGGATTTAGGGTTTAGGGTTCTGGGTTTAGGGTTCTAGGTTTCAGGGTTCAGGGTTCAGGGTTTAGGATGGAGCAAAAGCTGAAACCATCCTAATCCCTGAACCCTAAACCCTAAACCCACCTTGAACCCAAAGCCCTAAATCCTAAAACCTAAAACCTAAACCTAAACCCTAAAACCTAAGCCCTAAGCCCTAGACCCTAAATCCTAAAACCCTAAACCTAAAGCCCTAAATCCTAAAACCTAAAAGCCTAAACCCCAGCCCAAAACCTGAGCCTTAAGCCAACAAAGCCAGGCTCGGGCTTGGTTCGACTCTTTGACATCCTCCGTGCGGGTTGCATCCCAGTGGTGGTGAGTTTCAGGACCCTCAGTTCTCCAATACCCAACCTTTTTTAAACTTGTTGGATTATCCCCTAAACCTTATAAACCCTAAATTTTTTGGATTCTTGTAACTCAGTAGGAATCTGAAAGTTTAGCCTTTTATTTCGTTTCTTATTGGGGAAGAAAGGGACCTGGTTTCCTTCTTGTCTCGGGGGTTTCGGGCTTCAGAGTTCAAGGGTGAGGTTTGGGTTCAGGGTTTAGGGTTTAGGGTTCAGGGTTAAGGGTTTAGGGGTTTGGGTGGGATTACGGGTATCGTGGGGTCTTAGAAAAGTTTTATGGGGCTCCGGTAGGACTTGCACCGGTTTTTGGAGGTGTTCAGGTCCACACAAAAACCGGCTTTTCAGGACTTGAGGGCTTAGGCTTGACAAGGTGAGTGTTTTGTCCTGAGTGCGGGTCAAGTTAACTGACCCGAAAATCAGTAGAAACCCTAAACCCTGAACCTCGCAGCGCTCGCAACATCTACAGATCGCTGTCTGAGGACCCGCTGGGGAAGCGGCGTCAGCTGGTGGCGTCACGACGGACCGCCACTGGAGTGGAGTTTGCCCTTCACTTGGGAGGCCACATGGTTTAGGAGAACGAAGGACTCTGGTATACCTTTAAACATCTTTTATGTCTAATGGCCAATTTTTGGTTGGTGGATCCTCATTATGATAACGGTTCAGGCAGGGGGTGTTTTACATAGAGAGTTGAGGGTTTGGTGCGGAACTCGGAACGCAGTTCGGCTGTTGTAAGGGCCGTGAGTCGAACTGCAGAGACCCTCCGCAGGAGTGGAGGGCAGTTATGAATTTAGAGTGCAGGGAGAAGCCTGGGTTTAGGGTTTTGAGGTTTAGGGCTAAGGGTTTAGGGAATTGGGTGCGGATTGACAGTGTCCCGAACTTCCGAGTTTTGGTATGGAAATTTATGTTCACTGTCGGTTGTGGGAGCATAGAACCTATATATGATCACTGCTCAGTTTGTAGAGCTACATTGCAAGGGGGTCATGAGTGGGGCGAACAGCCTGAACCCGATTATAGAGGTCGGAAAAAGAAGTATAAGGATGTCCCCTTCGAGTTCCTGTGCAAGTATACTGCTATGTAGCCAAAGACCCTTATCCTAATCACTAAGGCCTGACCCTGAGCCCCAAACCCAACGCCATAACCCTGAACCCTAAACCGTTTTGAACCCTAAACCCTAAACCCCAGCCCCTGAACCCTAAACCCTAAACCGTTTTGAACCCCCCCAAACCCCAGACCCTGAACCCAAAACCCTAACCCGTTCTGAGCCCTGAATCCTAAACCCCAGACCCTGAATCCTGAACCCTAAACCGTTCTGAACCCTAAACCCTAAACCCCAGACCCTGAACCCAAAACCCTAAACCATTTTGAACCCTAAGTCGTAAAACCCTGACCCAAAACCCTAACCCGTTCTGAACCCTGAATCCTAAACCTGCCAACCTTAGGGTTTAGGATTTAGGGTTTTAGGGTTTTAGGGTTTAGGGTTTTAGGGTTTAGGGTTTAAGGCAACTGGCAGGTCAGCTGGCGACAGCTCGTTGTGGAAGTGCCGGAGGAGCCCGGGGGTTCCGATGTTTACCGTCTGGCCTGGCACAAAACAAGCCGCTTTAACCATCAGGGCTCCAAAAAAGCACCCAGTTTCTGGGGTTTTGGGGTTTAAGGGTTTTGGGTTTAGGGTTTAGGGTTCAGGGTTTCCGGTTTTGGGTTTGGGGTTGTGATAAGCCTACGCGCCAGAACATACCCTCCAACCTTCAAGCTTGCATCCCTCTTCAGACGGATTGGGATTCATGGAGGGAATGCACTGGATCCATATACATATGTGACGGGAGACCTACTATAGTAAGTGCCCAGTACCGTTTCTATTTATTCAGGCCCGCATCTTTGACCCTCACCCACACTTGAGGAGAAGTTGTCCTCGGTCGGCTTTGTAGAAACCTGCTTGCAGCTGACCCGCGAAGAGCTGGCAGCCAAGCAGAAACGGATTCTTCGCGTGCGCAGCTCCTTGATTAGATGGAACTTGTTAGTAGTGCGATTATTGCTATTACGTATTGAGATATTTCGTTGTTATTATGATGATTATTCTTGTTATTCTGTCATTACCTATTACCGATAGAAGTATAGCCAGTGTCAATATTAATGCTTGGGTTGGTACCACAAGTAAGTATGATTACATGATTGTTATTATTACCATCGTTCGCATGATGGCTGCGGGAGTGCAGAAATCGCCGCGAATCTAGGATTCAAGGAGTCGAATTCCAGTGCGCAACTCGGGAAACACAAGGCGGATTCGCGTTGTTGTTATTGTTTTCTATTGCAAGGATCCCCAAAAGGATCGTGATATGAGATCACCGAGAGGATCCAAGCTTACTATGCATCATTATTGTAAATACTGAAACAGATCCTTATATACTTCATTAATGCACAGGTCTATACTTTCACTGCAAAGGTCCCCCTAAACCCTGAACCCTAAACCCTAAACCCTAAACCTTAAACCCTAAACCCAGTTGGAAAAAGGAGCTCAAACAAAAAAAAAACTAAACCCTAAACCCTAAACCCTAAAGGAGGCGTAATTTTCTTTCGCCTAGTGCATTGCAAGCCTGAAAGACAGGCCGGGTGCGAGAGTCAAAGGCCCATTGCATTAAAAAAAACCCCAAAGGATCCTGAAGAAACGGTAACGACTTGCCAAGGGAGCAGCTTCGGGATGCCCCAGGCCTGCCTTGACCAGGCTAAGAAGGCTCTTACTTTCGGGGCCTAAGTAATAGGGGTTTTGGGTTTAGGGTTTAGGGTTTAGGGTTTAGGGTTTTGGTTAAATAATTACCTACAGTATTTTGGGGGGCTCCTTCTTATAAATATAGACTTTTGGGGCCTACATAATTACCTATATTATTTTGGGGGGCTCCTTATTATAAATATAGTATAATGAACCCCCCCAAAACCCTATTCTAATTATTAGGGCCCCTATATTTGCCATTGGGGTCTCCGTGGTTTAGGGTTTAGGGTTTGGGGTTCAAGGGTTTAGGGTTGAAGGGTTAAGGGTTGCGGGCTTAAGGGTTTAGGGTTTGAGGATTTCAGGGTTTAGGGCTTGAGGGTTTAAGGATTTAAGGGTTAAGGGTTTAAGGGTGTAGCATTCGGGATAGCATCCGCTCCGGCACACCCAACCCCGAACGATGCCGATAGCTGTAATGCTCATGAAGCATAGTACATTGTGCCGGGAATTTAGAACAGTTACTTGATAAGCGAATCTTGGTCAACTTGCAACCTTGTCAGCTTGGTCAGCTTGCTCGGCCAGTGGTCATCTGGGTCATCTTGCAATCTCGGTCATCTTGCCCCACTTGCCGCCCCACTTGCCCCACCTCGCCGACTAGTTTAGACCAAGAAATCTTGCTCAAATAACTGTCCTAAATTCCCGGCACACTGCTGTAGTAGCATGTAGTTATCAGTATATGAGCAGCAATCATATCAGCAGTAGTGGGAAGGGTAGTAGTTATAGGCTGTAGTCGTAATTTACCGAACGCGAGTAGAATAAGCAACTTGCAAGCCAAGGCTTGCTCAGCTATGACTTGGTGGGTGGCCATCGCGACGCATTCAGCCTGCTCATGGATGGAATCCGGGCTGCTGGGTGCTGATGTTGATAGTTGAGGGCATAGGTAGGGTGTAGGGTTGAGGGGTTTTGGGTTACTCGGTCGCGATTAAACAAGAACGGACACCAGTAGGAAGATGAGTATTTGTCGTTCCATCGGGTACACGAAGCATCATGATGTGTGATAACCGTCGTTCCACGGTTGGACCCTTCCCAGAAAGATAGATTGAAAGCAAATAGACGAATCAACCAGAAATCATGACGGACTGCCTACGAGGAGGCCCTTTCAATCCTGGGCCAATGAACCGTAGTGAGTACCATGCATCCTGACATCGCGTTCTGAATCCCGAAAATCTTCGGGGATCAGTAGAAGAGATTTTCTCTTGAACATTCTATGACACCTGAACCCCATTACCGTGGTGGTAGCAGCAGCAGCAGCAGCAGCAGCAGCAGCAGGAGTAGTGGTAGCGGTACTACAGTAGTAGTAGTAGTAGTAGTAGTAGTAGTAGTAGCAGTAGCAGTAGCAGTAGCAGCAGTAGTAGTAGTAGTAGTAGTAGTAGTAGTGGTCGCAGTTGTAGTAGCAGCAGCAGTTTCCTCAGCCCTAAACCTACAACCATGCCCCGTGAAGCCTAAAACCCGCATACCCTAAACCCTAAACCCTAAACCCCTAAACCCTAATACCCTAAATGCCCAAGCCTAGGCTGCATTGGTGAATCTGGTGTCTCAGCCTCCGGCTCTTGGTCGCTTCCCCGAGGCTCGTTTGACGGGGTCTTCGGGTGTATTTTTTTAGGTTCTTTGCTGTGGGCTTTAGGGCGCTTGGGGTTGCGGGTTTGAGGTTTCAGGGCTTGGGGCAACCCTAAACCCTAGACCCTAAACCCTAAACCCTAAACCGTTCCGGGCTTCGGGTTTCAAGATTTTGTTGTTTGTCCCTGGTGTAACTCGACGCTTGGACAGGTCTCGGTCCAACCTGAGGGTTCAAGACCGAAGACAAAAAAGATGGATTTCAGCAGGGTTTACCCATAGGCCCCATGGTAGTTCCTTCTTGCAGGTTCATATTTAGCATCCTGTAAGGTAATCCTAAAAAGGAACTACTATGGGGCCTATGGGTAAGGTTTCAAGAGGTCAGGGTTCAGAATTTGAGGAGATACGGCTGATGGACAAAATCCTGCATGACCTTATATGCCTAAACTATGGGTTTTATGGTAATATACTAGATTTGGGTCATGCAGAATTTTGTCCATCAACAGTATGTGGAGCAGACCTTGCAGGTGTACGTCTACGGCTCTCGTGCGCTATTCCGCACATTGGTGGTATCTCAAGGAACGAGCCGAGATAATTCTCAGGCTGTCCTTTTTGCGTTGTGTTCTCCGCTTTCATACCGAAGTTTCGAGTGGGCTGAGCAACTAGGAAGGGCTATCATTCCTTGACGTTCCTTGTTCTAGCTATAGTTCAATCTACCTCAAAACCCACTGTAATTATTTACCTGTACTCGCAGGTTTGCGACACTACGCCGCGACATTCCGGCTTCCGTTCGATGCTGCCCTCCCGGTTGAGTGAGAACGAAAAGGCCTGGACGCACAGCTCCTCGTTTGCCGAGGCAGCTTTTCGCTTTGTTGCAATGGTTAGGGTTTAGGGTTTAGGCTTATGTCGCATGAGGTTATGAATCTGATACTTCTTGATAAAACATAGACCTAGAAAACCATAAACCTTTCATCCCAAACCTCAAGGCAGTAGCCCCAAACCCAAACCCTGAAGCATCAACCCTCCTGAGACGAAACCTGAACCCGAACCGAACCCCAAAATCCTTGCCTAAGCCATTTGCCCTGCTTTGAGTTCCAAAACTAGGTGGCACTTTGGAAAATTCCCTTATGGTCCCTGTAGAGGTACATATTTATAAATACTTTTGAGGGCCCCGAAGCTACCACCCAGAAAAGGTTTCGGCGAGATGTCCTGCCTACCGCTGCACCGATGGCAGCCACCAGGAGCGGCATTTTGCAACACCGGGCCCGCCCTTAATATAGGGGCCTGAACAATTGCCTATACTATTTTTCGGGCTCCTCGTTATGATGGTAGTATATACCCCAAAACCCTATTCTAATGGGCCCCCACAGTAGGTGGGTTTCAGTCTTGGGTGTGGGGGCTTCGGGGTTAACCTGGTTAAACTTAGGGTGTAGGATTTTGTTGTAGGTATTTGCCAGTAGGTATTTATTTGCAGAGTTTAGGATTTTTGCATGAAGACAGAGAAGCGTAGGGCTTTGGGGTCAAGTGCTACCAGGATCTTCAGGATTTGAGGAGCGGATGCGTTTTTAAGGCTTTGCCGGCCGATTGTCCTTCTGTGCCACTACGACCCAAATCCCTCCTGAACCATATCCCCGATGCCGGACCCTAGTCCTTGAACCTTACTGTAACACCCTACCTAGGAGATGGTAATTATGTTTTTAGTTACCGTAGCTCCACTCGAATACCCGGTTTAGAGGTGAGGGTGATTTGCTCCACACCCCTCTCAACACCAGGCATTCCCGGGATCGCAAGTGGGAGTCGGAATTCAGAACAGCCCCCAGGTGGTTTCTTGGAAGCTCTTGGCCAATCCTTTGAGATGGACCACTACGTCACAACGAAGCTGGGCGCTTGTGAAGAAATTGAATTTATGCTAGCGGTTTGGTTTGGGACATGTCGTAAGTCGCAGTGAGATGTCAGAATGGCGTTTTGTTTTTTCTCCTGCAGTCAGGAGCTTCAGTCAGTTTCTTTGTATGGTAGCTTCCCGATTAAACTCCTAAAGAACTCCCAAGGAAGATGCTGAAACTCAGCTTTCGGTCTCCGGCCCTGTGGATTCGGGAGCTTCACGTCCTTGAGGGCGACGCGAACGCCTCTGCGGGGTCCACGCCCTTCCTTGCCTGCCGACACCAGGGCCTACCGGAGGCGTGTCATGATCTTCTCGTCGATGAGGGCTCGAAGGTGGGGGCATGTATCTTAGAAGTGGGGTGTTCTTCATTCATGCAATCGCATGTGGATCCGTTTGCAGTTGGTGGCGTCCGTATCGTAAGGGTGCCAGTCGTCAGGGATGTTAGGGTCTATAAACTTTGGTTCTGTCTTTTCCGAAACTCCCAAACCTGTTGGCATTTTTTTGTGGGTCCTTGTGCTGAGGATCCTATTACATCGGGTCGTAAATCCCAAGCTTTGCTACACGAGCCCCTAAACCCTTATATACCCCGATCTCTGAACCCGGAACCGGCACCCTAAATCTCGTGGCCTAAATCTCAAAGTTTTAGGGTTTAGGGTTTCGGTTTAGGGGTTTANNTTAGGGGTTTAGGGTTTAGGCTTACAAAACCTAAATCAGCAGTTTTTGGCAAAATGAACGTCTTAGGTCCGGGTGGACTATTGCTATCAGAGGCAATCTGCGCCTCCTACGCCCAAGACGACACTTGGTCCGAGAAGTGGAAAGGGTTTAGGGCTCAGGGCACCCATGCAAGAGGATGCATCTTACCCTATACAATCGTCCCAAAGCCGCAAAAAACTCAAAAAATCTCAACCCTGTACAACTGTACAACTGTACCCAAACCAAGCCCTATACAATGGTACCTCCACCCCTAAACCCTAAGCGCTAAACC